ATTAAGGTCACGTCTAACAGCATACATCCCAATCGTTCCTTCAAACATATTATTCATGTAAAAAAGTAGCACGCTCTTTATCAAGATTAGACATTCCAAATCAGCTTTCAATTTTTCAGTTTCAATTTTTAATATAAAATAAAAATTTAATTAAAAGAAATGCATTTAACAATAATTTTTAAGTAATCTTTGTTATGCAAAAGCATGAATTATTAATTCGTAAAATTATTTTTAATCCTGGTAATAATATCTTTTGCGTTTAATCGTCCTCGATGGCTACTCTATCAACTGACGCGGAATAACGCTTCTAAATCCGCTCGATTGAACTCGTTGGCGTCCCGATCGCACAAAAACAGAAGATCTTCTCCGCTTTTCTGTCGCCGACCGGAAGTCGTTTCCCGTGTTGGAAGATCGACGTCGCGCCATTCCGGCGACCGTTTTTCCGCGAATACGTCCACGAGAAGTCCTGGCATTGCGGATCCTCGCGACGATCTTTATTGCAAAATGGGCCGCGGACAAATCTGAGCCGTTTATTTGGACCTATTTCGAAAGCGGGAATTTTTCGAGACACGCGAATTGCGGTGTTTAACGGAATGCAGGATTTTGCGAGTATTATCGTGGTTGAACAGATTTCACTTTGAGTTGCAGATAATAGCGTGAATTGAACTAAGAGATTGTATAGTTTCTGTGTCTAGTAATGTGCCCATAAAATGTCTTACGGATAATTTGATGATAGCATTGTAATGCGAATTAGTTCAGAACAACTACCAGAAAGAGGTCGAGAATTTTTGATGAAACAAATATTAAGATTCCCCGTCATAATTTTAATTTTCGAAAAAATGAGAGATTATACATTTTTATCTCAGTAAAAGATTTCATTTTTCCATTACTTTTGATATTTGATGAAATAAAAGATATATTTTATAAACCAGGTCTTTGTATATCAGATTCTAAAGCGATTAAAGAGACAGATATTGTTGTTAAAATAAATTCTTTTTAGCTTGAAAATACAGTTCATATATATTGCAGAGTAGTTCATCAAATGTTAATGGAATATTTTTTATGCAACTTTGCGGAGAAAGTTTTTCGAGGACTGTACAGTTCTAAAAGATTCATATGCTAATGTATGACTTTTTCTGTCGTTTCGGTAAAATTGCAGCAAACTCTGAAGCTGCGCTAAAAATAATAATAATAATGTGTGGCATAATAATGTTAGTGAATCATTCTTTGTATGTAGAATGTTAATTTCAAGTTCCAAGGTCACGCATTTGCAAACGAGTTAATTTGTGCACGATATTTCCGCGAAATAAAATAGAAATGCTTTTTTCTGTATGAATAGCTTGTGTATCGCGAAACGGACGAGATATACAAATGCATATATTTTCTACGAGAATACAAGTTGTTGCACGCTGTGGCGGCCACGCACGCAACATTAGCTATTCAAACGCAACTCGGAGAGTTTCGTCTTTAAGTCGAACCTCTATCGTCAGACGGACCAGCCGTCTTCCTAGCGATCGTCTCGACTGTCCTTAAACACGCCTGATCGTTTCGCCTTGGGCTATTCGGCGTAAACTCTTTAAACACGAGAATTTCTAAATTTAAAATAATACGTTGCACAACATTAATGCAACGACACGTTTGAGTTTTTTTTTTTTATGTGAAAAATGTGACTTTTCTAAAAATGTATATGCTGGAATTAATAATACTTTTCATTCTATTTATTCACGAGGTTTTAAATATAATCGCATAGTTCTTGCAATTTGAAAAACGTACGATCTCATATTCTAAAATATTAATAATATGTGCGGTATTATTTTATAAGCATATTAAAGTCAAATTTAATAGGACAATTCGATTATTGTATAAGTATGTTTTTTTTGTATTTTAAATAAAGAAATATTATATATTATATATTTTCATTAATAACATAAAATTATATCACAAAAGAGAAGTAAGTGTATTTTAAACTTATAGTATATAATATAGTTGGATGCTTTCTCTCTCTATACATATGTATGTATACAGATATCTTACACTGTCTGCCTTCACAATGCGTTACCGCATGTGTATACCGAGAGAATGAGTAAAAAATTCTCGCAGATAAGTAGAGAGAGGGGGGGAGGGAGAGGGAGCGTGCATTCTCGCGTGACTCCATGCACGCTCGATTAAACGTGCATTCACGATCGATCAAAGGTCGATCGAAGTCGACCACGAACTGAAAACAGTAGTCACGAGAAAAGCACAGGGAGATCGGAAACTATTTGCTCGCCTCTGTAAATATCTGCCTACGGAACGACTTCGGCAGGTCTCCGTTGTACGTACACATCGACGGCTTGTACGTTATGTATATATACGGTGTCTCAGAAATTGCGTGCTTACCCTGAGTACAGACAACACAAGTTAATTTGAAGAAGGATGTACCGTAAGAAAATAGCGAAAGGGAAACGATATTTCTGTATTTACTTAAGAAAGGTTACTATTAACATACTATTGAAACGTTATGTATAATCTTTATAATATAACATAGAAAAGGATAATTTTATAAAAATTATTTTATACTTTATATGATTTCAAATTTAACTTTTGAGATCAAAAATTTTAAGTATGCTTCTAACATCGAATACTTTCCACAAAGTCTTCATCTAAATAAATAATAAAATCTTATTATTTAACTAATTACGATGATAGTTAAATAAATATAAAATTCTCAATTGTTAATGTTGATTAAAAAGAAAATTCGTAGAAGAAAGAAAATTGCGTAACTACTGCACACACTATATATGCGCGGGTCGATGAGCTCGATTTTTCCACGGGGAAATGCCGGCTTGCATCTCGCCAATTTTCAGAGATTATCGCGCCCGAAGACCGTGCGAACCTCAACCCCAGATAAAATTAGGAAAATTGTTGATGCACGAGTTCACTGATTATCTAGGAGCATATCGATGACGATATTCAAGTACTTATCTGAGCAAACACACGCAAGGTGATTTGCAACTCTCGCTACAATAACTAATAATTTTGTTATTATTTCAATATATTCATTATTATTTGATGATAAATTTGATTTTAATAAAAGTGAATCTGAAGTGGGATAATCATTATCGAAAATAATAATAATAAATTCTAAAGTTTATATATTTGCTTGTTTATCTATTTGCATCTCCTAAGTTTCAATTACCACACATACACACACATACGTTTTTTAAATTATTTATAATTTAAAATCTATCATATGTATATTTATATACATCAAGAACTTTTATTTTAACAATAAAAAAAATACAAAAATGTTGTTTAGAGCAATAAATATTTTGTTATAATAAAAATATGATAAAACCTAAGCATTATGAAAAACAAATCTTTAGAGTTCTGAATATCTGACAGCGTTTATCGAATCATGCATCCCCAAGGCGTTTATTGAATAATTAATCCAAGAGTTAATTAGCTTGCAGTATTTTAATATCTTTTTGTGGTGCATGCTCTTTGGCTGACGGTGTACGATTAACGGTACAATGGTAACGTAACATGGTTGAGAACAAATGCGATTATTCGTTTTCGCTATAGAAGAGGAAAGTGCAAAGGGTGCGTTTACCCCCGATAAAAATGAGAACGTGAAGTAGTTATCCTGTGCAACACTCGCGGCAATGTAAATGTCAGTTACACGTCGAAAAGCGACCACCAAGAAGAGAATCGACGAATCTCGATGCGTCGACCGTAATACCGACGATCCCGCGGGTGCGTTTAATGCATTCGAAAATGACCCCGCAGAGACGGGCGAAGGTGAGGGGAAAGAGGTACAAAGGGTTAGAGAGCTGGCTCGTCGACGAGAGCGATAAAAAATTTATTCGACGATCTGTCGGCGCCGCGCTGCCGCATCGCTGGCGTTACGAACAGAGAAAAAGAAAGACGAACTATAAATGGAGAAGAAGAGGTGAAGAATAAAGTAGCAATACATTGTAAAGGAAATGCCGATAGACGAATGGAACAAACGGAGAAGTTAAAATGCTAATTGTTATTAAATTATTGAAAATTATCTATTAATGTTCGACGCTAGAACTGCATAATATAGGTATACTTTTGTTTTAAATTTTTTAATTTAAGAGGTGGTATGGATTTCTTAAAGATTAAATTAGAAAATTCTCCTGAGAAATTTAAGTAATTCCCTCCATTTGAGTTATGTGGCATAATATCCAATTATATTTCATTATATTATTGTATATAATGTTACTATATAATATCGTAATATTATAATGTAATAATATATATAATAATAATGTAATAATAATTAAAATTGTTCTTTAGGACATTATTTTAACAAAATTTGAAAGAATTGTTTCAGAAAATTTATTCTGTTCAATGCTTCTATATTATCTGATTAAATGTATTGTGATGATATTATTCTTCAATTGTATGTTTATTATGTGCTTGTATCCTTAAATATTTTATAAAAGTTAGCGTGATTTCTCTATTTTAATTTGATGTTCGCTGATCATCATGTACAACGTTGCGCAACAGTGTTATGAAATGTATGTGTAATTACTGATTGCAACGATTCTGTAAATCCCGATCTTATCATCTCTCGACACGGAATATTCAGCGTTCAAATTTGACTAAAAAAAGGATTAACAGGGAGGAATCGCGTGTGCACAATGTCATCAATTCTGAAGGGTTTAAGTATAATAGCGAGGCATTCATTTCTTTTCAATTTGAAAACTAAAGTTTAGATAAATTAAAATTAATACTTTAAAAAATCATTCCAAAAATATCGAAAATATATTATACTTTACATTGCATTTGTTTATGCAGACACATTTGTATTGTATTTCAGGTTTGATTTTCCAAAATAAATGAAAGTTAAAATAATGTTATTTATGTGATTAACACCACGAAACGTCTGTCACAAAATACAATTATTGCGACCCAATAATTCGTAATGGTACAAAATTGTCGTAAATAAATCAACAATCAAATCCGTGCAGTAAACAAATTTAGGTACTCACCAGTCGATGCATACCTCGCCACTGTATACCTTGTTCCCTTCTATCTTTTGTTGCTGCTGTTCCTTTTCTGCTCTCTGTTACTGCATTATTTTGGTACTCTTTTGGATCACATGGCACTTTTAATCACTACTTATCTTTCTTACTCGTCACTTTTTACTCACGTATTGCAAAAAGATAATCGTCCGTCCAATTCTGTACATATTTGTAAATAAAATTCATTGTTAATGGACAAAAAGATGCGAAAAAAAACGAAGCAAAATTGATTCGACCACGGCACCGAGGTGTTCGACCAATTGTTCACTAAATTCATACATCTCACTTCTTGATATTTCTTGTTGATAGTACGTGCAATATTCATTAACACGAATAATATGTTTATCAAAAGAGATCCGCGATGAAACGCGAAGCGTGAACTTTGATTTCGAACGTCGAGAAACAGATAAATGCGATCATGCTGGTATATTAATGTCTTGATACGATGGCTCAATACTAGACACTTTCGATATTTATTTGCACATGGAATTTGCCGAACAGAAGAAAAGAGCACGAGAAAGCGGAGCGACCCCCTCGCGGCACTGAGGCGCTCGACGCGATCTAGTCGGCCATTAACTCATTCATGGCGTACTGTTCGTGCAACTGATTTCACACTATTACACGGTGAATTTCAATATCTCAAGCAAGCGATATTACCACCCTCGATGAATCCGTGGTAATCCCTCAATGCTCCCATTGATGTTCCTCGATGCTGCTCCTCGTGTTGTTGATGACATCTAGTCGGATGAATGAGTAACACGAAATATACGTATCGGAAGAGTTTCGCGACGACTCGTAACAATGGGCTTCCATGGCGAAAAATAGGCTGAACGCGATTGCGCAGGCATATTAATACTTTGTGATGATTGATTATCGCTAAATTCGATACTTTCAAAACTTGTCCGTACGCGGAATTCGTCCGTTATGAGCGTAGACATACGAGAATGTGATGTGACCGTCATTTGACCACGGTATCGGGACGCTCGACACAAAATGACCGACCGTTAGCTAAACCCGTGACGTCACGTTCAAGTATCTAATTTCATATTATTACGCGGCAAATATTTCAACATACGGCATTACCTATTTTGATAAATTCGGCACTGGGACACTCAATCACGGATCGCATGGACACGGAAAGCCTCGAGACGATCGCCCGTCGTCCAATTTGGCATTGTTAATAACCGTAATATATAATATTCACTTGCGACAAGTAAAAATTGCAAGAGATACGAAGAGGGCGCAATCAACGCTCGGACCTACTACGTAATACAACTGAGAGGCTTAGAAAAGTAGGTATAGAAATATAGATGGAGTGAGGGAATGCTATGTCATCTGGATGCGAGGCGCGCTTTCCAGGAACACGCTTTCTAAGAAAGTAGGGAGCCTTCGCGATGTAAACAAGAACGAAATTCAATTGTTTTGAGATTTCGACTGTTCGTTTTCACAAAGAAGCAGATAATTTTGTAAGAATCGTTCTTAAATTTATAATAATTCACGTGTCATACGAAAATCTGTGGATTAAAAAAATTTTTTAAAGTAAAAATTTACATGCTACACGCAGCAAGCCCTATAATTCTGCATTTAATACAAATTTTAATATGTTTAAAAGTATTTAATGGATTAATTTATTTTTGCATAGTATATCTATATTTAAATGTTGAAAACAATTTTGCAATGTGTTATATTTTTTCATTTTTTATGTTCTGTTTTTTAATTCGTAACATTCTTACTGTGCTCGAAAATGATTTTTAATGTCTATCGTTTTCTTCACGAAAACAAGCGATCAAAATAACTCGAGTTATATTTTTGTTTTTATCACGAAAGAATTTCTGCGTATAGGAAGGGCGCGCTTCTCATTGCGACGGCAAATCGTTCCCCCTCCACATTGGTCCTATATTTTCCTAAGTCTCTCAGTTGTATTGCGTAGTGCGTGCTCGAGCGCCGAATTGCGCTTTCTTCATGTTTCCTTTTGCTCGTACGTATTTTGCGCAATTCGCTCATCGGACGAACGTTGATCGTGCTATTCAATATCAAAAACATTGACGAGGCATTGTCGCAACGGATTCATCAAGAAAGGTAATACTATTTGCTTGATATTGAAATATTCGCTGCGGCATAACACGAAATTAGACGCATGAATGTGACGTCACGGATTTTACTAGATCACTTAGTTCGCAACGAACGCTCCGATGTGGCTGAATCGCAAAAGCTCTGCGTGTCTTTTTTATTGCTCCGAGCAAATTCCGTGTGCGGACGAGTTTTGGCAGTGTCGAATTTGGCGATAGGTAATTGTTTCAAACCATTAATATATCTGCATGATCGAATTTAGTACATTTATCGCTTGATATTTCGTCGTGCGACCTTCTTCTAATAAACATTTTTCGTGCGTATTTCGTATTATTTTCACTTCGGACAAACATTACCAGGCTATTCAACATCAGTAACATTAAGAATTGATGCAATTCTTGAAGAATTTGCTGATTGAATCATCAATACAAGCGATGCCGCTTGTTTGAAATATTGCTGCATAATAGCGTGAAATTAGGTACACTATGAACTTGGTTAGCGTCTCTCTCATCAGAGAGAAGGTTGCGTCGAACCGCTCCGATACCGCGAACAAATAGCGATCGCTCCGCGCTCTCGTATATTTTTCGCCCATTTTAAACAAATTCCGCGTGCGAACGAGTATCAGCAGTGTCGAATTTAGTGATTATCTCAAAGGAATCACGCGCGTTTAACTCGTTTGTCGGCGTTTGAAATTGGAGCTCATCACTTCGCATTCCGTTGCGGGACTCTTTACTGATACACGTATTTTACATTATTTACAGGTTCGATGAACGTTGCGTGCGCCATCCATACTATTTCCAACATCGACAAACATCAACAGGGCCATGAAGGAATTACTGCGATGGATTCAAGGCAGGTAACATTGCTTGCTTGAAATATTAAGATATTCGCGTATTGTGAGGTTATGTGTATATAATAATGCGTCATGAATTTTGTTAATAGCTATCCAGTTTGTTTGGTGTCGTGCCCGAATTACGTCCACTTTGTGTTTCTCGCGTTTTTTCATCAAAAATAAATTTTTTATCCGAAAGTGAATTTTACATGCGAATGAATGTCGGGAGTGCCGAATTGAACAACGGGCGATCGTCTTTTTTTTGCGAAGCGCGAGTAAAGTTGGAATTGATTCATAGTGAATAAAATCAAGAATATCATATGATATATCCATGAGGGTGATTGCCCGATGTGAAGGAGTAGTCAGGAGCAGTGAGGAGCAAAACATTGACCGGAGAGAGAGAGAGAGAGAGAAAAGGGAGCAAGATGTACAGTGGCAGCGCATCGACTGGTGAGTAAATTTATGATGTTTCCATAATTATTCATTTATATAATTTAATTTATTACGATATTTATAAAAATTGTTTGATTATTTCAATTATTTATTCATTATGGCGAATAATTATTTAGTAATTATATAAATAATCATCTTAATTTAATTATATTTTGTTAAACTTTGATTACGGTATGATGCTGCAGCATATATTCAGCGCATTGTTTTCATTATCACGCGATTATCGAACATCTTGAATTAGCAAAATTAATATAATGCAATTTATTCCTAAAAAGATACGGGAGAAGCAAGAAAATAAATTCGTTTTTACAGCTTAAATTAGATCAACGCGCGAACAAAAGGCATTAAGTGTATTTGCATGGCCGATACGCATGCATAAATACATTTGCATATTTATGATATATTTACATTCGTGCGCGCGCGCGAATTTAGATATCGTGCCGGTATCTGTGAATCACGGTAATGCTATCGACATCGCGTACGTACGAAGCGGAATTAAAAAAAACAGCACAATAAAAATCATATGCCACGCGTTTTATCCGCAGCGGCGGCCGTACTTCCAGAAGAGACGAACGATACGATTACGTAACTGCCGGTGTTCTTCGATGCTCTTACGCAACGACAAAAAATTATGCAATGTTCCAGCTAAAAGTTTGCGTTCGCAACTGCGAAGACGCACTTTGCGCGCGAGCGTTTACGAACGAGTGAGCGAGTGAGTGATGCGCTATTATTGCAAACGTAACAACGCAAGTGGATTTATTTCAAATCACTTCGCTTATTTCCATGTTGGAGAAGTATAGGATTTAAACTTATTCATTCTAAACTACGTATAAAACTTTCTACATCTCTACCATATAATAACTTTCAAATTGAAAATAAGTTAGATATATTCACATAATTACTTCTTTAATGCTTGTTGTGATATCAAGTTTTATATAAATTATGTTTTGTTTAACTTATAGTTGAACTCGGTCCTTTCAAAGTACATTTCTCTTCACAAATTTGTATTTTCGAATAATTTTCGTAAGATGTAATAGAAACAATACAGAATTCTGTTAGTAATTTTCGTAAGATATAACAGAAACAATACGAAAAGCTGTTGAGCAGCTTTTAATATTTTTTATGTTTATCACACATAATAAAGGAGTACATGAGTATTAAATAAATTATTTTAGAATCAACTGGAATATTTTTCAGATTATGTTATCATATTGCTTATAGTATTATTAATTATTCCGTTAACCCGTTTTTTAATCGCGCGTTGTCGACTCACGTGTTAAAACGCAATTTAATATTCGTTCTTCGATGTTTCAACCTAAGTCGCAGTCGTCAGTCTATATTTTTTAAAATCCTTTTTTGTCTCGCTTCTCGCCGCCGTGCCGCTGCAGATAATAATTAACTTTGACTAATAAGACTTGCGCGATTCTTCGGGAAGTCGGACCGTTGTCGGAGCGTTGAAGCCCAAGCGACTGCATTACGACATTACCGTGGTGTGTGCAGACTCATTCCGCTAATCTTGCGTAGGCACGCATGTTGCTCGTGCTTGTCGGAAACGCGACATTGTCGACGTCGCTCGTCACGGAACAAGAAGGCCTTACGTGGTTGCATGCGCGCACACGCACTTATACACACGAGCACGAAAATGCACGCGTACATACACATATAATGCATCGCGAGGCGTAAGCCGCAACGAAGAATATATTGTACCTCAAATTAAAGCCGCTAAAGTGCGCCATGGTATTTTACGAGCGGCATGATTTCGTCGCTCACAGCGATGAATATCGTCACGCTAAATTCGACGATTTCCGTGAAGGATGACGCTGATATTCATGATTCTTCGCGAGTTACTCGTTGATCAGTCGCGTTTCTCTACTTATAATATGCTTGACTTATAGTATTGTGGATGGCCATCGATTGCACTCATACATAATACTTAGTAGCGCTTTATATAAAATAATAATAGGTTTGTTCTTCTTAGCTACACTGATCAAACATATTTTTTTCT